TGTACTGTGAAAGATGTATGAAGCTTCATCAGATTTGCTAACTTCTATCAGTGATTTATATAAAACTTCTCAGATATTGTAAGACCACTTATAGACCTTACTAAGAAAGACTCAGTATTTCAATGATCAGCAGACACTGAAGCTGCATTTACACAGATGAAGAAGATGTTTATTAATACTTCTCTGCTGATAATCTTTGATTCTGATTATGAGACAGTTATTGAAGCTGATTTCTCTGACTACATGACAGGAGAAGTGATATTACAATATGATGATGAAGATGTTCTACAATCATGTGTCTTCATGTCTAAGAAACTGAGTCCCACTGAATGCAATTATGAGATCTATGACAAGGAACTCCTTGTGATCATATACTGTTTAGAAGAATGAGACTCTGAACTCTGAAGTGTCTCTGAGTTTGAGATAGTCACAGATCATAAGAATCTCAAATACTTCACAACTACCTGTAAACTTACTGAATAACAGATGTGATGGTCTGAGTTCTTAAGCCACTTTCATTTTACAATACACTACCACTCTGGCAGTCAGAACTCAATGACAGATGCCCTCTTATGATGAGAGCAAGATATGCCATTCAATGTAACAGATACTTGCTGGATGAACTGAGAGCACTAGCTCTTGAATCTGAAGATACTAGTTGATCAAGATGAAACAGCTCACAGCACTATACATGCTTCTCTGATTAGAACTGTCACTGATATCTCAACTTCTTCTGAATCTACATTAGATGAGCTATAGCATACAGCAGCTCAAACTGATGAACTTCTCTAAGCACTCACTGAAGTAGTATGATAAGAAGCACTGTGATTTCTCTCAGAATTATAAGTAAGAACTGACATCTCAGAATGTTCAATCAATGATAATAACACTCTATAATTCTGCAAATAACACTGAGTCTCTCACTTCAAACTCTTACACACCCGGATAATGCAAGAGATGCATGATTCACATATGACTGGCCATTCAGGTCATGAACAACTGTATAGAATGATCTTCTGAGAATTCTATTGATCTGAGATATCAAACAGCATCAGATACTTTGTCTGAAACTGCAACTGCTGTTCTTTCATTATCTCATGAAAGAATCATAGAAAAGGTCTACTGAAATCACTTGATATTTCTGATAGAATCTGGTGAGATGTGGTGATTGACTTCGCTGTCAATCTATCTGAGAGCAAGGGTTGTAGAAACATCCTGGTCATTGTGAATCAATTGAGTAAAGATGTAATATTGAAACCTTGTAATAAGATGAATGCTGAACAAGTCACTGAAGCCTTTCTACAGAGCCTGTTCTATCAGATGCATGAATTGCTGAGATTCATAGTATCAGATTGAGACTGTCAATTTATAAGCACTCTATGAACTAGGATCTGTCAAGTTCTCAGAATTACACACTGTCTGTCAACTGTCTATCACTCTGAGACTGATGATGCATTGAAATGGACAATTCAGACTGTAAAGAATTATCTTCATAAGTTCTGCAATTATTCACAAGATGATTGACATGACCTTCTTCTATATGCAGAGGTTGCTATCAACAGTTGAGATGCTGTTTCAACAGATGTAAGCCTGTTCTTCCTTACACACAGATATCACATGAAAGTGTTGAATCTTCTAGAGATTACACAGTTCACACTGAACCCCTGCAGTTCAATCCAGATCACTGATAATATAGTAATGAAGCTCTGAGATGCCTGTGATTGAGCAGAGGCCTTCATGACAACTACAAAACAAGACTAAGAAGATTAAACTAACATCTGATGAGATCCCGCAGAGCAGTATAAGATAGAAGACCTTGTGTGATTGAATCTCAAGAACATATGAATCACACATTCATCTCATACACTAGACTACCGCCATGTCAGGTATAAAGTGATAGAAGTTCTAGATAGCCACAACTACCGCCTTGACACACCACCAGGAATTCATGATGTATTTCACACAAGCTTGCTCCGCTGCACTGCCATCAATTCATTCCCTTCTCAGCTGACTTCTGACTGACAGCTGCCAGGCATCATAGAAGAAGATAATGAGCTTGAGTGAGAGATTGAAGATATTCTCAATGAGAGATCCCGCGGCTGCAGCTGATAATATCTGATGAAATGAGTCAGCTATAATCAACTGACCTGGACTCTGAGTTCTGTGTTATCTGAAATAGCAGTCCTTGACTGATGGGAACTGCTTCTGAAAAGAGGGAGCTAATGTGGCAGGCTGCACCTGATCAATCATATAGACTATTCCATTACACTTCATAGATTCTTTCATTCTCAATCACTGATTCGCGGCTGCTATGAACACGCATAGCATACACTCTGATTCTCAGTCATTTCTGATCACCGATCCTCAGCTGCTATGAATGCGTGTATATTCTTCCACTCCGAAGCTCCACCACATACACCATCACATACGCGTATAAATATTCACCTCAATCACTGATTCTCGCACTTTCTCTTCCTTTCCTTCTCTACCATTTTTATCTTTGTTATATAAGACCTATAATATTATACCGATCTATTCGGTGCAGGCCCCTTACAATTTAGTTGTTTCATGAGTGTTATCAATAATCATTATCAAATTCTGAATATATAAGCAATCACTGAATGAACTGAATGAGACTGAATTTGATCTTCAGTCTCAGTCTCATTCTGATTTTGAAAGAATGATCATCTTTCATAGTTTATTGTAAGAAATTACTCTCATTTCACTGTTCTTTCATTAAATCTTGTCATTTTTCACATCATTTCTCTCAGAAATGATTCATTTTCAGATTTTTTTCATGCTTGATCCTAGTGAGACTCACATCAAGAAATGTATGCAATCAGATCAAATGGAATCAAATGTGAAATTCATGATCCCACCGGCCAGTCTACTCATCACTGATATCAAGCAGTCTGCTAAAAAGGTGTTACTGAACTCAGTATTTAGATGCAGAAATATATGAGAAGAAAATTCAGCTGACAGAGTAGTGTCTGCATCTGAAGATCAGATGAATTTATTTTCTTCTTTCAATAAAGATAATTTGAATTGAACAGTTGCAAGTGTGATAAAAATAAAGAATAAAATATTATACATCTTTTTATTCAGCAGAATAATGATACTGAATGTAATTAAAACATGAAAGTTGTGAACTCTTGAAGAAATAAAGACAAGTAGTATTAGATTTTAGCAAATATATTAACTTTTTAGTGACATATCTTAGAAGAATTTAAAACTTTTCAGTGAGATATTAAATTTCTTTTAATCAACTTAGCTAATCATTTATTAATATAGAATTATATTCAATGAGAGAAGATAAAGAGTAGAGAAAGTTCAGTGATAATCAGATTGTATAACTGCTATGAAGAATCAATCATCTTTGAATACTTCTGTGATTCATTTACTGCTGAAAAGTTCTTTTTGGTTTTTTACGAAGTATGAGAAATCATCAACTTTGATTGATTCTCTGAGTGAGAATAATAGTATATGGAACATAAGTTGAATATTCATTAGTTAAAGATATTGAATTGAAAACTTTGAATTGAAAAACGAGAAACTGATTCTGAAAAATAGAGATATATATCAATCTTACAACTCAGATTAAAATACTTGATAATACTAATACAAATGAAAATTTCACTGCAGCTATGTTACAATGATAAAATATTCTGACATTCTGAAATCTGATAAGTGATATTTCTGAATATCAGTAAATTATCAGAGATGACTTTACTGAGATAATTCAGAATACTCTGACAGTAAAAAAGAGATGTCTAGTGAAAGATATATAAGAGACAATGCAGAAAAAGATTAAATTTTCAGAGACACTTTCAGTGAAAGATAGATCATTGATATAGAGATTTTCAACACAATCTATTTCTATTTCAATATATTTAATTTTCCATGAGTTTTATATATAAATTAGTTAATATATACTTTAATATACATAATTAGAATATACCTGTCTTGATATTTATCAAAGAAAGTTATCATATTCTCTATCTTGCAATTTATATAGTTATGACTGCAGAGAATTTACTGATTTCACTGTATCAGAAAATCTTTTTTATTCATCTTGAATTCTGTAGATATATTTCTGACAGTGTATTGAACACCTGTTTCTAGTTAATAGAAATGAATTTCTATTCAAAATAGCTATAATTCATTCAGTGATAGTCTGCATGAAAAGTATTCACTCTGAAAATAAGATATGAGTAAAATCTATCAGATGCACTGATTACACTCAGAAGTCTTCTGAAGTAATAAAGTATTCAAATTTGTTACATAATAACCTTCAAAGATGACTTAATAATATATATAAAGACTTATCTTTTTCTTTTTCTTCTTTTCTTCTTTCTTTCTTCTTCTTGTCACAATAATACACTGCAAAGATCATTCTCAGCTCACTCTACTCTTCTTCATCTCTCAGAACAGTTAGTATTCTGCTAGTTATAATAGAAAGCTTTTAATCAGAAAAGTTCTAATCAAGATATCTTGTCTGTGTAGTATATCAAGAATATCAGTAATTCATTACATCAGCATCAATCACAGTAATAATAACAATAACAGCAGCAGTATATAAAATGATAAATAACACCTTCAAGTGTACTCATGCAGCTGCTGCAAAGACTTAAGAGAAGAAAGCAAGCAGTTATCTGAATACTCTGACAAAGCAGTCTAGCAAACTGATAATATGTGAGCACTGTATTAAGTATATTTTTCTCTGTCATTTGAATGCTGCTTGTGACCAGATGAAGAGAAGCTCAAAGCCTTGTATAAATTACAATTATGAGAAAAAGAAATGTGTGATTATCTCTGAAGAATTAAAAGAATAAGTTAACAGTCTGATCTAAATTCATGAATTTTATCTTTCTTTATCAAATTAATTCAAGATAATAATAAAGAAGACTATATTGAAATCAGTAAAGAATCTCTTAAAATAAATCAAGAAAGTCAAGACTTAGTGATAGAAAGCAGAAGCTTAATACATGAAAAGTATCAATATGGCTCTGAAAGTCTTAAATGTCACAATCAGTGCTGCTAAAAAAGTGAAAATTGAGATTAAAAAGATAAAGCTGAATATTGAAAAGACAAAGCTTGAGCTCAAAAAGAAGAAAGTTACTGTTGAGAAGAAGAAAGTCATCATTGAGAAGAAGAAAGTTATCACTGAGAAGATTAAATTGAAAATCAAGAGAAGCAGGCTTGCAGTACAGCATGAGATTTTAATGATAGTAAATCACTATATTAAAGCTCAAAAATAAGCAATAATGAATCTCACAAATGTTATAAACAATATCAATCAGAATGTATTGAATATTGCTGTCAAGACATGTGAAATATTAAAGTAATTCAAGAGATTCACTGATGACTGACAGAAGTGTGATGAGAAATCTGATAACAGTGACAATTCTCTTCCTGCCTCTGCTACTGATATCAATACTGATGCTGATGCTGATGCCTCTGCTGCTGCTGCTGATCTTTCTCTTTTCTTCTTCTCTGATGTTCTGACTTCATTTGATTCTCTGACTATAAGCAGCTCTGAAACTCTCAACATTCTCAGTCAAAATGGAAGTTAGAATCAGCAAAATGATCCTCAGATTTATGCAGAAGATGACAATTATATAGATACGTAAATACATCACTCTCAATCTCTTCTCTGAAATTCTCTCTTTCAAATAGTAAATGATCATTGATACTGACTCTGCAAAAACTTCAATATCAATTTGCAAGTTTGCAGAAATGAATATTAATACTGATATAAATATAACAGAAAATGATGATAATGAGAGAGAGATGATTCAGAGAATCTAAAAGAAATTAGATAGAGATGTAGCAGATTTTCAATAGGGAATGATTTCAGCAAATGAGATGTTTTTCAGAATTAGTGATTACATAGATAGAAATCAGTGACATTGTCAATATAATGATAATTTTTTCCTGTTCATAACTTGTTTACAATGATTTCACAGCTTATTCATCATCATATTAAGATTTGCAGTTCAGTGACAGTGTCAGTGACTGGCATGACGGAACAATCACAATCCAGTTGTATAATAAGCCTACGTTTTTCCGGTAAGAACATCTACTCTAATCACGTGCCACTCAACTTATATATAGTTTCTCCTTAGATAGATTACAGATGATAATATTATTGTTTAACAGATTATGAAGCTCTTCTATGAATAACTGCTAATAACATGTTAATCACATCTTCATGTATCATTGAACATGCCTAGATGTCTCTTTAAACCTATGATTAATTTGAGATAGAGTACCAGATTTGATGAAGAAATACATATCAGTGTATAGAAAATTAAATTCAGAAGCACTGAAAGTGAAACAGAGAATAAACAACTCTGATAATAATTTTAAAGATTTAATTATTCAACACATTATCAGAATGTTGAATCATAAGCATAATCTATATAAATGTAATTCAACTTCTACAAGTGAGTTAACTTGTATAAAGTTGAAGATAATGAAACTTCAATATGAAATAAAACAGATAAAAACTAGCAGAGAGAGTGAGACTCTGACTGATACTAATGACACTGTTAGTATGAATCTGATACAGTTTCTATAGAAATAAGAAACAACATCTGCTTTGATGAAGATTTTAAGAGAATTTTAAGATCAGATTAAGTATATTAGAAAATCAGTTATTCTTACAGACTGTGAGAACTATTCAATGTAAAAGAAAGAGATCTTACTAGCTATGAAGCAATCTCACATAGTTGATATTATTGATAAAAAGCAAATGAGTTCTATGAAGAATACAAGTAACAACATGCAATGATTTTGAGAAGAATGTAACATGTGACTGCATAATTATATATAATTCATAATTGCTTCACAGATGAAATCTCATTTTACAGTACTGAAGAAATCTGAGCTGTCTGTCTACACTTTATAAAAGATCATAAAGGAAAGTTTTACTGAAAGATCTGCTGTTAAAAGAATAAGATTGTATAGAGAAATCATCACTCTGTTTGCTAAGACTAAGAGCTCTGATCAGGCCTTTATTGAATATTTAATTATTATACAGACTGAATATATATATCTAGAATTTAAGACTGAGAACTACATATTTTTTAACTGTTTACTCACTGAAGTGAGTGAGATATAAGCATTATTGATTAGAAACTGAATCAATCAGATTGATAAGAATGATAGTCAATCTCTTAAAGCTGACTTCATAAGTCTTTGTTAAGATATTCTACTACATCTCTCTGTAATGAGAGAAGTGCTGAAGAATGTGATAATAAATACAGTTGATAATATAAGAAGCTCAGATAATGAAAAAAGTAATAATAAGAATACAGACTTCAAACCAGAATATAGAGACAGTGTAATGAGAATCTGCTATTACTATGACAGAGTTAATTATATTCAGAATGACTGTTGAAAGAAATACTCTGAGAAATATTCTATTAATTCTAATACTGCTAGAAAAGATAAAGATAAGAACAGTAGCAATGCTGAAACTGATTCTGTTCACAGTATTATGAAATAAATGTTCTTCTTAAGAGATGAGATTTAATCAGACAACAACTCAACAAAGAATACTTGAATATTAAACTCTGAATCAGATGCTTATGTTATATCTTATAGAGATCTTATTGTGAAGAAAAAGAAGAATGTTAAGTTATCATTGATAATGACTAATGAAATCAAAGTCTCTATCATAATAGTTGAGAACACAAGTATATCAGTTAAAGAAATGAATATGATATTGAATAATGTTTTCTATACTCTGAATTTTAAAGTTAATCTTATCAGTCTAGACAAGCTTGTACAACAAGGCTACATCTTCAAGTAATTAATATATGACAAAAATCATATTATATTACTTATGTCTTCTGACAGAAAATTCACTATTACTGTGAGATTAAATGATAGAAATATTTATGAGTTGAAGAAGTCAGTTATATACAGTGATCTGATTCATTTTTCTGCATCTGATGATAGTTTCACACCTGCAAATTTCATGCAAATGACAGATAATGATATAATACTAGCATTATCAGAGAGAAATGATATGAAAATTGTGAAACATATAATGATAAAATAGCATCAGAAACTCAGACATCTCAATTCAACTGATATCATCAAAATAATTACAGACTCATATCTAGAAATGAGAATTCTTGAATAACAGGTTTTCTTATTTTACAAGGTCTATGTGCAAGTCAAGATAATACATTCAATCATTCAATCTATGATGAGAGTTACCAAGTCAGTAATGAGATTCTTCATTGATCTGATAGAGAGAGGGAAAACACTCTTTCATAAGAAAGATATACTCTTTAGAGAGAGTGTGAGCTACTGGGTGAGTATTACTGATAATGCTATACACTATCAATGAGTGATTTTAATGATATTAAAAGAACAATCAACAGCAAAGCTGATGAATTTTATAATAGATATAGAGATAACTATACAATAAAGAATTGAAATTCTTCATTGAGATGAAGAAAGAGAATTTACAAGTGAGAATCTTAAGATCTATTATTAGATCAAAGAAATTATATATGAGATAATCACTTCTGACACACTGCAATTCAATGATTCTGTGAAACATGTTAATTGTATTATTGCTGAAAAGACAAGAAGTCTACTATTTAATAGTGACTTGAAAAGAGATCTTTGAAGAGAGATAATACAAGCTGCAATCATAATGATCAATACATTCTCAATATCAATCAAGATATTTGAATGTACTGATGAGTCTCTGCTTATACCTTTTAACCCATGAACTGAGGTATAGCCCTCAGTTCACTGAATACATAGATGACAGTGTAAGATCTATAAGAAGAATTTAAAAGTATCTAGCAAGCTTGAGAATGGAATAGATGACAGAGAATGATGACTAGTCAGTTATCAGAGACTATATTAATATCATCTATAAGACTCTGTAAGACAGTGCCTAGAAGTTGCATGAGATGTTGTCTTTGATAAGAATTTTGATATAAAATCAACTGAATCTGTCAATGCAGTCAAGAAGTCTATTGACTTTTCAGAAGAACTTGATATTCTAAATATGAATAAAGAGTGATAACACTGCTTATTAAAATCTCTAGCTAAAGAGAGGTCAGATATTTTAAAGATGATTGTCAATGAGAATCTGAAAAATGTCATTAATTCAGTCTATCTCTTGAATGCTGACATGAAGCTTGTCAATGATGAGAAGATAGAAAATTCTGTCAATAAAGATGATTCTGTTCTTAGTACTCTGACTGACGATTCAATCACACTTACAGAGGTCAAAAGAAGCCCAGACTGGAATTATTAATATAAGATAATACAGAGAGAAGTCAAGGTATTTGAACAGCAGAAGATATACATTATTATTGAGAAAACATCAGATATGAATATTCTATCAGAGAAATAAGTGTTTGATCAGAAACTGAATAATAAAGAATAAACTATTCAGTTTCAGATCTGTTGAGTAATTAGGGAGTTTCTGCAGAAGCAAGATATTTAATATACAAAATCATATACTGTGATAATATCAGAACTCACATCACATAGCTTATTTACTATATTAACTGTCAATGAATGAAAAGTTAAATTGATTGACCATATGTCAGTATTCTTGAATGAAACTCTCTCATTAAATGAGATTGTCTATATGAAACTGTCAACAGGTGTGAGACATGATAGAGACAATTTAGTAAGACTACTTTGACAGAGCTTATATGAAATGAAACAAGCAGTAAGAATATGATACTTTCTTACAACAGAATATCTTATCATATTGTGATTCAAGATATTATATTATGATGACAGCTTTCTATATCACTCTATTCAAAAGATATATTTAATACTACATGTTAATAACTGCAGAGTAACAGGCTTTCAAGAGTAGTAACTGAATTGAATATTGATGAAGATAGCTAAGTAGTTTGAGACAAAGAGTGTTGATGAGAATAAGTCATATCTGAGAATAAAAGTTAACTGCCTAAAAAATAAGAAGATGACAGTGATACAGAGCTGCTAGATAGAGGAGATTCTTGAAGATTTTGAACTGAATAAGATGAACTCAGTCAGTATATCAATGATCACTAAAATATGTATTAAATTCTCATCTGATGAGAGCAGTAGTCTAGATAATGATATTACAGTTATATGATATTAACAAGAATTGAAATTCTTACAATATCTGGTCTCAAGTAGCAGATACAACCTGGTATTTGAAGCTAACTATCTTTTAAGATACAACTCATGCTCACACAGAGAATATAAGAATAAGTACTCGCCGGCGATTATTCAGGTGTTTGCAGCTTGGCGTGATATGTACTGTTAACTACTAGAATTATTCACAGTAGAAAGATAAAATGTAGAGATTAAATGTATAATAGTATTCAAGCTGAGTTATGAATAGTATTCATGAACTTCAGTCTATATAGTTGTATGTAGTCAAGAGCTGCTAACTCTATTAATTACATAAGAGATAGAAATAGAGATAAAGAATCTGTAAGAAGTGAGATTTCTTACATACTCTCTTCTCTCTAAGGCTTTATCTGTGAAGTCTTTCACTGAGTGACTTTATAGAATCAGACTTAGCACTGTAGTA